GAAATTAAGTCAAAACCTATTTATAATATTTCTCCCAACCCAGTTCCCCAAAATCACATCGAATGGAACACCTACTAATGGTATTTGACACCAATTAAACTGGGATAAGAAAAGCTCTCCCTTTTTGGTTCTCCCCCACAAGAGCCAAGAGGAATATGATGCCTATTTCACTGCAGCTGATATCTACCAGTCAGAGGCCAGTAATTGTTGCCAGCTCCTTCACACAAATCCCATCTAGCATGCCATATAATGAATTTGTTGATTTGTTTAATTTTATTTAGAGCCTAGTTCATAAGCAGGTTATTTTCTCTGGTTTTAACAGCTTTTACCCTATCTAGCAAATAGGGTGCAGATGGTTAAAATTGCAAAGACCTGGCTAATTCTATCATTCCAACCCCCAAAATGAGCTTTTATTTCTTTCTTACTACAAGTTTTACAACATGCATCCTCCTTTCCAATATGCTTCAGAAAACACAAGAGAGACAAACAGAAATCAAGGCTGGCCTCAGAAGCACTCAGAGACCCTGCCTGGGACCTTAGCAGCCACTCCGCTGTGCCAAGCCAGCGGACAGCAGCTGATGTGCAGTGACTAGAGCACACCAAGCCTGCAACCTCCAGTTACCATGGTCCCCAGTGGCGACACATAACCCTAACCAGTAGGGCCTGTGGCACCTGTGTTCCATCACATGGTCAAGAGCACCCAACACTCTGGCAGAAACTGCCCTTCCAGGTGGGAAAAATGGGACTTGGTAAGTACAGGAACCAGGTCTGAGGGCTAAGGGAAGAGTTGTAGGCATGAGGCTCCACGTATAAGTGTTTTTTCTTAGGACGCTTGCAACCAGCATCCCATTCTAGCAGTCTGGCTATTGTTGGCCAACACTAACAGTGGGAAAACTTCAAGAGTTTTAGTATAACAAAAGCTGTCACTTGTCCAAGTATCATACCCCTTTTCCAGAGTTGCTACAATTTTAAAAATGCAGTAAACAATGGAACAATAGTAACTTTCATTTTCAAAAGCTGAGGAAAGTAATCTCTGGTTTGATAGGTAGATGTACCAGCAAAAAGTTATTTGTTCTTATAGCCTTTGACTTACCTTGAAGTGCATACTTTTATGTACTTCTGGAAGTACATAAATTGTGTTTTTTAATCAAAAGCAGACAAAACTAGGATAAAAATAAAGTCCAGAGCTATCTACTGGAAGTTGAAGTATCTGTGATGAAGGGCAGAATCCATGCTGTTCCTTCATAAACACTGATCTGTTCACTTTCTCAAACACAGACCCACAGAGACATTCCAAGGTTGTAAATAGTCCCCCCCACCACACATCATTACCCACCAGCAATATATGCTGTGGTTCTTCACTTACTCATATTTTCATAAAAATAAATATCTCTTTCAATTAAAAAGATTCTTCTTTTTGAAATTACTATATTTGAGTTAGAGGGATGAGTGTTTGCTCAGTTCTAAAAGCAGACCTAAATTCTTGAATGAGTTTAGGTTTATGTAGAAATAATTACAGAAATGGGAGGGTTAGCTGCAGGAACACTTCATTCTTTAAGCCCCAAGCAGCAAGCTTACTGTTAGTCCTACGACTACATCCTCCAACCCAGCGATTTGAACTCCTGCTTTCTGTCACAAAGATTTCTGCTACTGAGGATATATCCATCCTTTGCAATCACATACAACATAATTACAAAATAATCCTAAATATATGACCTGCAGGTATTAAAACTCTTTTCATCCTGATCACTTATCCAAGACCAAAGGTTAGAAAAATCTTACACATTCTGGAAGTGGAAATACTGCTATTTATGAAATCCGAGTTTTAATTTTCCATTTCAACATCAGTAAAGCTAGGGATTATTTTATTAAACTATTTGTATGTCAAGCTTTCTGAAAGATTAGCGAGCACTGTGTTAAGTACTTAATGGACCATATACATAAGCAAACAGAAATCTGACATTGATAGTACCTACGTAGTTTCTTTATCAGTAAAAGCACATGAAACTTTATTCCAGTTCATACTGTTTCTTACCATCCCTATCACACTTACTGATCAAAGTTTGGTTTGGGCTTTAAATATTCCGAGTATGGTCAAGAGTCCTGGGTACATAACACACTTTAAGTAGTACCTCAATGGTCCATGGATTCTTTGTGAATATTCAAAGGTACCTAAATTAAATTTTGGATAGAAAGCCAAATCATAAACAATCAGATGTTTTAAAAGATTACAGAAAAAAAAAAAAAATCAAGCTATTTTGTATTTAGTAATACTATCTGCAAAGCCAATGATGAGAGCTAAGCTTCTTGTTTAGAATGGTTTTCTTAAAAAGTAGTAGGAGCTTACTACACATTGTTTAAGAACATTTTCCTCTCTCATTTACAGGAGGACCAGAGAATTATACAGCAAAATTGAGTTTTTAGAGACAAGTTAATTAAAACAAAAACTCGTGGGTTTCAGGAGCAGGTTTTGATAATAAAAGTTATCAGTGAAGAGTTCCTAAGAGCTGGTGAAGCTTACCCTCTCAGAAGTGGCATAGAAAGCAAACTGACTACCACTGAAGATTTTGTCATAAATAATTAAGCTTCATGGTTCCTCTGCAACTCTGAGCAAAAAAAAAAAAAAAAAAAAAAAAAAAAGCGGGAATTTAAATCTCTCAGTATAATTTTGAGATAATCTTTAAAATATTAGATTCTAACTGTACTTTGGAATAGTTTTATAGTGTTATCAAACATTATATTAGGAACAGCCTTGATCAAGTTGTTCTCCTGTACTGGAGCTGTATTTTGCAATCAGAATTTGTGCCAATCTGATATGGGGGAAAAGGCACTCCACAAGAGTGAAAACACACACTAAAAAAAAAATTGCACAATATAAAAAAATAAAGGGTTTTGTCCTCTCCAAGTCAACCAGCAACTTTAGTCCAATCTAGAAACAAGAAGTATTTGTACAAGCACCTTGGTAAAAAATTACAAGCATTTTGTTAAATAAATGCATTTTAAAGGTTCTGTATCCTTGTATAGCCTTGTTCTTCAGTTCTCTGCAAGCATTAATGATCATTTACGATCCATCCAATAGCTTTTGCTACAATACTTCCCTTCTACTCCTCTGAACACTGTTTTATTTCAAAAGATCTCTACAAAACTTCCGGGGAAATAGCATAAGATGTCACAATAGCTTAGTCATCTGATGGTACAGTCCTTTGAAGTAGTCTACTTCTAAGTGTTATAGAATAAGATCTACATTATTAAAAATTAAGTAACAAGAACTAGCCATGAATAAAAGTCGGTTTACAACTGCTCAAAAACAAACCAGCCCCCACCCTAAGGTAATTTTTAAAATAAGCGTCTGATGCAGAGTCAGTAATCCAACCAATGTATTACCAGAAAGCAGCGACACTGCTTGCTATATTGTATATAAACCCGTGGGCTTTTAAGGAGTTGAAATTTTTTTTACAGAATTCAAGACATTTCTTATCATTCATCTTACTGTTCTATCATGGATGAATAATAAATATTAATATGATCCTTCTGTTTTCATAGTGGGTAGTAGTTCTACTAGTCCATGCTCTTTACCAAATGCTCGAATATGAGGATCTGTAATGATCTAAATAGAGCATCCCATTGCAGGTTGTGGGCTTTTCCCCCACCCTTTCCCTTTTAAGCCTTTTGGTTTGCACCACTTCAGTTTAGACAGCACCACCAGGAAACCATTCAAAAGTAATTCACCATAAGTAGTGCAGTGAGTACCAGCCAGATACATTTCATGTAATGCATCTCCCAGTTGCATCAAAATTGCTTCGATTAACAGTGTACTACGAGGAAAAAAAAACAAAACCAAAAACACACAAAAAAACCCCCTCTGCTAGGGAAACAAATTAACTTCAGTACATGTATAAGAAATAGCTGATTAACAGCTTCCCCACATTAGTAGCTAAAGCTTTATCAGTTACTGTAGACCGCAATAAAAACCAGCTGAATTGGCAGTTAGAAGCATTGGATAACAGAATCAGTTATATTAGTGCTATAGTGGTAAACTACAAAGCTAAAGTCTGGGAGACAAAAAAATCCAAGTATTTTACTTTTAATAAACCTGAAAAATGTTCAATAATATATACCCTAAAAATAGACATTTTAACAAACATAACTGGGTAAAACCTCTAATTTTTTTCTGTTATTTACTCATTCCATTATTCCTCTGAAACACACAAGTATCATTGGCAATGTATGCAGCTGAGTACCAAAATAAAGAATTCACTTTGGAATAGTACAGAATACCTTTCAAACATCTCTTTTCATGGTTGAAGTATTTTAAACCTTAGATTGAGAACAAGGAACTAAAATTTTAACTGGCTCAAAAGTTCTGATTAGAGCCCTGTGTCCTGGGTTCAGCTGGGATAGAGTTAATTTTTTACAGGAACCTGGGAGGTGGGGTGGCGGGGCATAGCCGGGGCAGCTGACCTGAACTAGCCAAGGAGCTATTCCATACCATGTGACATCATGCTCAGTATATAAACGGGGAGCAGGCTGGGGGGGCTCTCTCTGGACTTTCGGTGGGGGAAGTGGCGGAACGTCGGGTTCCGAGTGGTGAGCAGTTGCACTGCGCATCACTCTTTTTGTATACTCTTTCATTAGTACCGTTGTTGTCATTTTTTTTTGTGTTGTCCCAGTAAACTGCCTTTATCTCAACCCTCGAGGTTCCAGATTTTTTTTTTTTTCTCTCCTCTGATTCTCCTCCCTATCCCACCGGAGGGGGGCAGGAGGAGTGAGCGAGCGGCTGCGAGGACCTTCGTTGCCGGCTGGGCTGAAACCACGACACCCTGGAATCTCTTCTAGTCACAAACATCATCAAAATTTATTTCATGTTTCTCCCCAACACAACTTGCACTTTAAATATTGCTTCCTATCACCAATAGTTTTCTTAGTCCGTTACACAAAGGGAAATAGCTGTATGTCATATACATCAAATACATCGTATGTAGGAAGAAATGTGCACTTACCAAGTGAACATAAGGCACAAAGTATCCAAAAAGCGCAGCTGGGATCCCAAAAGCCCAGATTCGGTAACTAAGAACTTTGAACACAGAGAAATTGCAAATTTTTTTTTCTGGAGGAAATCTGAACTTTCCCTTCTTTCCTGCCTCCTTGTCTTTGGCATTGGAAACAAGGGGTTTGTACGTAAAGCCAGCCAGGAATAGAATAAACAGAAGTATGCACAGGACCCGCAAGGTGTTGTATAGGCCAACAGAATCAATCAAAACTCTCAAGAGGAAGGGCAGTGACACGGTGAACAAGCTGCTGCCTGCAGTGACAATGCCATTCACCAGTCCAAGACGTTTCTTGAAATAGTGCCCAAGGATGACCAAGGATGGCTGGTAGGCAAATGAGCAGCCACAGGCAAATAAGACTCCGTAGGTGAAATACAGAGGTTCAATGGTGCTATATCAAGAGAAAAAAAGAAAAAATCATTAGTGTTTTGTACAACACTGTATGCTCACATTCACCTACCATATGCAAGACAGTTTTTCAATGAACTGATATATTTACAGAAGTGAGTTAAGAGTTAGTATGCACTTATAGTTGAAATACACTGTGCCAGCTTAATTCAGCAATTACTCTATTTTCTTCCACTGAAAGTTTCATAGAAGTCACTAAACAGGTAAAAAAGCAAAATCATATTTAAGTATAATTACACCAAATAGTCTGACTAAAAGAAAGTTTTAAAAGTCATTGTTAAGGTGAGTTAGCCAAACGTAAGTTCAACCACTGCTAGGTTTTTGGTTTCTTCTGTTCCAGAGAAAATGATACTGTTTTGATTTATACATTTCTTCACTGTGCTACCAGTTCCAGCGTAATACTGAGCACTCCTCATGAACCCAGAAAAATCAAGTATTTATAGTTTATTATGAAAATACAATAGCAGAAGTAGTAAACATCATTAAGAATGAAAAAAATAAAACAAAAATACTGTCAAGTTTTGGCAATACAATACATTATAAGCAAATTATAGACTTTTTAGTTTGTTGGGGGTTTTTTTTAGACAAATAATCTCCTTTTTATCAAATATTCTAAATTCAGTGCTTTGATCCGGATATTGGATATGCTAAGAAATAAATAGGAAAAAAGCTTAATAAAGAATGAAACTTCTCAGCCCATATTAAGGAGGATCTTCACAAGGTTCTCCAACATTACCATCTACTAGACAACTGAAATGAAGCAGAGCCATTGTATTGGATCACAGGCAGACATGGGACATTAAAAGATACTTGCGCAAGAAATCTTAACAGTATAAAGTAACAGTGTTAGTATAATTAATTTAGTATTAATAAGTCAAAGCAAATATTTTCAACATTCAAATGAAGGAGGCAATGTGTGAGAAATGATTTTATACAAGATGTGAGGTTTTCAGTGAACCATGGGCTCTCTTCTATCAGCTAACATCTGCTTTTAAAGCAGTTATAGAAAACCATTTAACGTGTTAGCCAACATATTAACTTTTTTTTGAGTATGAATGCTTTATGCAGTGCTTTTCATCGTATCGTAGGATGTTACCTGCCAGCATCCTTCTACATCAAAGTACACTCCGCAAGCTTCCCATGGAATTAGAGAAATTCTTAGAAAATAGTATTTGACCAACAAAAGGTGTGACAACAGAAACTCTGGTTTTGTGTATTATTGTGAAAAAGAATATTCGTGTAACATAATATTGTTGCTTTCTACATTAAACTATCAATTTCTAAAACTGATTATACACAAGCTAAGCCAGCAGAAACAACATAAGGGGAAAGACTGATTACCTTTATCAACAGAAAATAACCAGGAAAAATAAAAACGGAAGTTATAAAATGAGAGGAGGAACATAATACAATAAGGACAGAGAAATTCTACTTCCATGTCTAGATTCATTCAAAGACTTTGCAGCATGACATACATAGTAGAATATTTTCCTGCATTACAAATACTCTTACATCTCAGCTTCCTAAGAGATAAAATTTATATTAAGAAATCAGTAAGTAACAAAAGCACTAAATCATATTTACATTTACCTACTGTACAATATTTTACTTTTAGAACATTGACTTCTATATCTGAACTACACTCCCTCAATTAACGGATAACATCATAGGCATAAATCATTTAGTGTAAGTAACATAATGAAACACCAAGACTGTACATTAACATGGCGTGTACTCTAACAAGAGTTCACCTCTCCTCTCAAAGCGCTCCTCAAATTCTAAAACAAAATTCAAGCTAAAATATTTTATGAAATCTTTACAAAATAACTTCCTTTTACATGCCTCTTCTGTGCCCTTGTTCCATTGGATATCAAGGAAAACACAAGGATGATAGTATTTTGTTCAAAGGAAGAAGACACCTTTCCTTTATCAAGGCGTTTAATTATAATAACAAGACTGTTTAGTATTCATCACTTACACTACTGGGAAGCAAGGAAGAAGAAAGACTTCCAAGATGCATTTAGTTTTTACCTCACCTGTGGTAACAAGCCTCTAAACATATCAGGAAGTGGAATTTTTGTTTGCTTTAACAAAATGAACTAAGCAAATATTTGCACTTGTATAAACCAAAAAATAAAGTAAAAATCAGAAACTTGCTCAAGTAAAAAGAAAACAAAGCTTGCTTTTTCCCATAAATGTAAGTTATTCCAAGAATAAATATAAACACTAGTCTCAGTACCTAAGACAGAACTATTTATCTTCTCTTCCTGTAAATTTGTGGATATGTTTTCACATTAGGGGACATATGCCCAAACTAGACATATTAGCAGCTCAGGCATAGCGCCACACAGCATGGATATTCATCCATCCAGATCACAGCCAGCTCACATCTATCTGGTTCAGAGTACAGGCATAGAACACACATTTTCACAAGCCTGTCTGTATAGATGTATTTTCATCTATGTAGGAAACTTCTGAATTTTGTTTTTGATTGTTCCTGTCCTTATTCTGCTAAGGGTGGGGGAAAAAGCAGACAGAACTAGAGGTAACTGTGACTTATTTTCCTACTACTTATTACCCTATCTTCACTAACGAATTTCTGCTGATGACTAGAATAAGTAAATTTCCTGTTTCCTCATCTTCTATTGGGCATGTCCAACAGATCAGCTGCTCTTGAACTTCTTAGGATTTATTCTGCAAAAGTTACAGAAACGTACAAAATGAAGTGTAATCTGGAGGAAGAAAAACACTCAACTACTTTTCAAGTTTTTTTCAATAACACAAGAAAGAACTGAGGTTTTCTTAATAAAGCCAATAAGCCCTAAGTATGTGTCATTATACAAAGGTTTTCACTATCTGTGTTTGGCAATTGGACCAGTAAGAACAGAAAACATCAAATTTTACTAGAACATTAACACCTTCCTGGAGGTCCTACTGCATATTTATCAACATTAAAACAGTGATTTAAAAGCAAGTTGAGGGGGGAAGACAAAAACAATGTTTAGGTACCTGCTAAAACACAGCATACATCAAGCAAACGTACAAGTTTATCCAGGACAATGCTGTTGATCTCATAACCTTAGTCTTGCTGTTAATATATTTATATATCACTAGTGGTTCCTGTTAAACAGGGACTGCTGTTATAAGGTTATGTTATATCTTTAAAATTACTTCTGAAGTTGAAAGTACCACTTGGAGTTTTCACAAATCATAGTTAGAAAGACAAAAACAAATTAAAAAAGATTTCTACTCTAACAGATAATATAAAGTAGCACTGCTTACTCCTTCATATTCTGTTGATAGGATAAGCATTACCTCTACACTGTAAGATTGATAAAGTACTTTGAATGTAAAGAAAATAATTTTTTTACCTTACAAAAGAACTTGAAAGGAGTCCAACAAACCCTACTGCAGCTCCAATAACAGCTACTTTTCGACAACCAAACAGGTCTGTGAATATGCTGACTATTGGAGAACACAAGAAGACCATCCCCATAGAAAGAGAGCTCACCCATGCTGCAAAATAGAAGATGACAGCATTTTAGAAGACCAAGTGATTTAAGCTATCAGCTAGCATTTGTTTTAGTTCAGCAACATAAAATCTTAGATAAAAGCCAGGTAACAATTATTTAAATGTTTTTTAAATAGTTACCCAAATTTTTAAATATATTTAAATATATTTTAAATAAAGATATATATTTAAATATATTTACCAAATTTAAATACCGTGACCAATTTACAAAATCAACTAATTTTTACTTTATCAGCTCAAGGAATGCAATTAGCTACAGAAGTTATTATTACTTTTACCTTTTTTTTTTTTTAAACACAATTACTCCTCCAGTAACTAAGCTAGTATTCAAACTGATGACTAGGCCATTAAAGATACCTTTGAGGCTCCATACCCATTCCAACATCAATTAGCACATTTCACTTGATTTAATTCTAGAGTTTAATGACTTCAAACAGCTAGGTTTGCTAAAACAATTAACAAATTTTAAGGTAATTACATAGATCTAGATCATACTGAATATTAATAAGGATTAAATGAACAATAGGCTTTTACACCATAATATACACATTAGGAATATTTACTTTAAACTAAATGAACTTGAGCTAGTACAACCATTTCCATACATAACAGAAAGTGTCACTACATCTGATCCTGCTCCAGCTTTACAGACACAGTTAAAATGTACTTTGCTTACAAATAAGTCTTTAGATCATTAAGATTCTGTTCAGGTGAGTACGCTAAAGTTTCAGCCACAAGTGTGTTTTTTATTCCAAGTATACCAAAAATACCTTCAAATAACTTAGGTAGGAGAGAATTTGATTCATTTTTAAAGTCAGCTTTCTGCTTCACTTCATACAGGTGTTCAGAACCACATCTTTTACCTGCTATCATCTAATTGTTCTTTCAAACATGCTTGCATTACTGATGTTACACCCAACAGTTCTCCCAGCACATAAAGGTAAATCAAGCTGCTGTAGCACAATAGTTACAACAAATATAGTCACGTGGGTAAGTGTCCCCATCTATTTGGAAAAACAATTGGCCTAAACGGGTAGTATAAAAAGCTGCTGATGCAAGATGCATTGGAAAAAGTGTTTTAACTTTTTTTAATTGTACAGAAGATGAAGAAACTCTTTCAACCTGGAATGGATTTAAATCTGTGTAACTGGAATTGTTTAGAATATCTTTCCTAAAGAGACAGTTAGATAAACACTTGTGACTCAGTGATAAGGGCAAATAAAATTATCTGAAAAAATATATATATAATCAAGAGACCTAATGAAGAATATTTACCACTATATCTACCAATACCAAGACTTAGAAGTAGTGCTGTTAAAGCGCCAGTAAGCCGTACAGATTGATGGAAGACCCCATTGTGCAAGGCACTAAAGAAGACAGAGCAAAACAAACACACAAACAAAAAAATTGTTTCTTCAAAGAGTTTACAATGTAAATGCAAGACAAAAGAGAACAGATGGCTAGAGAAAAACAGAAACAAGTACAAGGAATAAACCCTTTCTTTTAGGGCAAACAATGACCTCAATGAACCGTGACCTAACTGTTTGGGGCGGGGGGGGGGGTGTTACTGGGGGGGTTTGAGCATGTGATAAATATGATGGAGTTTCAAGGCCCAATCTGAAGAAGAGTGAAGCACTTTTATGGGTATTTCCTGGGTGTGACTAACCCAGACAAGATAGTCCTGCCATCCTTGCACCTCTGCAGTAGAAACATGAGCTGTATGAAAGGAGAGCACAAACAACTAGGAAGAACAAGGCCCCTGTGATGCTGACTGAAAGGCAAAGACGAAATTTATGGAAGGTCTGTCCTTTCTCTTCCTCTGCAGTTAAGGAAGGCTCAAAAGCACCTTGGGTGTGGCAAGAGATAACTTTGAGATCTGTCCCATTTTACAGCCCAGATGGCTCCTGATGTTGCAAGACAACATTATACCAACTACAATTTGTAAGCAGGAATCAGAAGGAGTAAATGCTCTCATACAGCCTGGAGACCAGCCAGTTGCAAATCTTCTTAGAAGTCCAACTTCTACAAGACTCACATCTTTTCACTTACCTTTCCCAGAGTGAGCTGTATAGAGCCTGCAGTTCTACTGTCCAAAGGAAACTGCAGACACTATAAGAGGTAAAATGTCCATGGCTTCCTGTCACCCCCCCCAAATAAGTGGTAGTTCCACCACCATGAACAGTCCTCAGCATCTCTGCATGACTTGTAGGGCAGCACTAGGAATCACAGAGTACCTGTGACACCTGGGGGATCTGCAAGGCCAAGAGAAAAGGCAGCTGAATCTTGAGAAATGGACATTACAAGACTCACTGTCATCAGACTGACAGTGGTACAAAGGTACCAATGCATGGTTTAACCTCCTGCCAGCCTTCTTACCTAGATGTGACAAGACACAAAGGCAACTGTGACATTAGAGAAGACCACCAGGGACCACTGGTCATGAGAATCCCATCTCACATGGACAGGTACATGCACCCCATCCATGGAGACAAACAGGTGAAGACACTGGGCAACTGAAACAGACTAAGTAGCTTGCATAAAGTCACAGACTAAATTACTTCAGAGTCACAGATAGAACTTCAGGAAGTCCTAGTTTCCAGTTAAGACAGGCTGTGATTCAATTAGCCTTCTCCTCAGTGAAATCAAATACTTTATAGTACTTTTCAATGGCTTATACAGCTAATTAAATAATTGGAATATAAGAGCCTGAAGTGAAAACATTCAGCTCAAATCACATTCCGTTAACAACATGCTGACTTTGTATCTTCATGCTTCCAGGTACTAATGAAAGAAATATGCCTTTCTTATCACTTGTTTCTCTCTTCTTTTTGTTACAGCAAAGCCTAAAAAAGAAAGGTTCCCACTGATTTTCAACACAACAGTTAAGGGGAAAGACAACAGTCTTATCTGAAGCGTTTCAGAATGGCACTGCATTAAACTGGAGAAATGGGAGCCCATGCTCTACCACTTATCTACCTAATGGAAACTGGAGCCCTTTAAATTACAACTTTAAGTTAATATGAGACTCTTGTGTCCTACAGAAATGTAACTTAGAGATGTTGTTGGCATGTCTTGTATGGACAGCTTTATTTAATGAGAAGAATGTTCTTGAAGCTTAATTTCACATGTATGCATAGCTCAAGAAAATTTACTGTATTCATCCTTTATGAAGAAACCTAGCACCAAAAAGAATTAAGATCTACTCAGAACAGCACATGTGTAAATCGTTAATTACCTTAAGGCAAATAATTCTTGCTGCAATACCTTGATCCTATGAAGAAACTGATGGCTATAAAACATACTCAATAGACCCAAGTAATTTTCATTTTCACTTTGCTCAAGTAAGTTTTGAAGCACTCTTACACTTTTTCACTCAGTATGAAACAGGTACAATGACATCTTCCACATTTTTAAAAAGAAGTTACAACCACTGTCCCAAATAAGTAATATGAAAAATTACAAATGCAGCTTGCCAGAATAATGGGAGCTCTCTAGAGCAGTCATTACATATTAATTAAAACATTTCTCCTCCAGGCCATTGGCCGCTTTCCTGGCCACAAGCTGGCTATATTCCAGAGCTGCTAATTCAGATACTAATACAGCACCTAATTGCTACATATAACTGCATTCATATTCATACACAAAACATTTTGATTGCCATAGAAGAAAAGCTATTCCTACTTTAAGGACTTAAACCTTCCTTAAGGCACTACAAGGTAAGAATTAACTCCTCAAAACATGTAATTGCAGAATAACCAATTGCCAAGCTTTCCTAGAAGATAGAAAAGAAGTTATCCTTAAAATTAAAATATCATACCAGAGAGCCTATTGGTAGCATCTACACTGAAAAGTCTGTTTCTGTGCCACTGAAGCACATAATAGATTAAAAAAAAAAACCAAGTTATATTATAACTAAAGTTATTCTGAAGTGAAGTCACAGCTACATGTTCTTTTCTTATCAGTTCACTACAAATGTGCATACTTCAGCTATAATCTACGTTCTCATATTTCTTTAATTATTTCTCTGTTCAAAAGTCTATAGCAATGAAACTATACCACATAATCCACAAATATGCTGCTGTTTTACCATGAGTTTTTAAAAATCAGCTTTATTTTAAATAGTGTCTTTTGTCTTCAGCTATAAATACAGTATCTTATATCTGAGCATTCACAAAGTAATTCCTATTGTCACAGCTAGATTACGTAATCATAGTTTGGTAGATAAATACATAACCAAGCTGTTAAATGTTTTAGTTCATTCTTTAGACTCAAGCACTACGACTTAGAGACAACAGAAAAGAAAGCATTAATACCATATCACATTGGAATGCTTTATTGTACATAAATTTAAATAAAGGCTACTCATCTATAGCATTCCTCTTCACAATCAAGATTTTTCTATGCATTACAATAAGAATCTTATCAGTTTTATTCTCACAAGTGTCTTTCAAGTGGTTGGCTTAACACAGTAATAACACCCTTCATTCTTTAATGAACTTCAAGAATTTTTTTAATATCTTCCCCTGAGATTTTTCTGGTTGAGACAGGGAACAAAAAGCTACTGTCTGGAAGACAAGTGATATGAGGCAAGTGAAGGGAAGAATATTTAAATTGAGGATTCAAAATTGACTCAGAAATATTTTGTTGCCCCACATTAAAAAAAAAGTCAGATATCTGTGTGTGTGTAGCTCGTACAGCAAACCAAGACAGCAGTATAATTACAGTTCACTGGATAGGTTGCAGAATAATCAACATATACTAAGAAGCACAGACTGTGGAAAGCCAGAGCAAGCTTCCTACGTTTAATATAACAGATTCTCATGTGCAAAGACCTATAGCTACACTGGTTTTGAGCACTTACAACACAGACTGGCCAACCATCCCCTAAACCAGTACCTCTGCTCACTGTCAGATATCCTTCCTAAAAATCAGTTCGCCCACCATCTCATTATATAACCAGTACAGTAGTTCAGGCCATACTACA